GTAAACTGGAAGTTAGCTCAGGTCAAACAAATTTAATCCCGCCTCATCAATTTGAATTCAGAAACAAATATGCGACTATTGAGCAGGTGCACAGTCTAATAAATAAAATTTATACTATATTTAAACAAAAGATGTATTGTACTTCTGTTTTTCTAGACATAGAAAAAGCCTTCGACAAAGTATGGCATGAAGGTCTCCTACATAAAATTGAACAAAATCTTCCGTCACCCTACTACCACCTTATGAGATCCTACTTCGCAAATAGAACCTTTTTCGTTAAAATCCAAGACACATGTTCAGGAATCTGTAACATTGAACCAGGGGTGCCACAGGGCAGTATTCTCGGGCCATTACTGTACACAATATACACGGCAGATATTCCCGTCACCAGCGAAACCTCAATATTTTCTTTCACAGACGATACTGCAATCTTAGCTATACATGCTGACCCAAAAATCGCACACAAATTGTTGCAACGATACCTCCTAAAAATCGAAGAATGGTTGATTAAATGGAGAATAAAAGTTAACTTTGAAAAATGTAATCACATTACATTTACGCTAAATAAGGGTACTCTCCCCCCAGTTACCATCAACAATACAACCATCCCACAAACTAAAGTAGTTAGATACTTATGATTACATCTTGATGTAAGAATGACCTGGAAACACCACATCAAAACTAAAATCGATCAAATCAGGATCAAGAGATGTGAAATGTACTGGCTTACTAGCAGGAACTCCAAACTAAGCACGAGCAATAAACTATTCATCTATAAAACAATAATTAAGCCAATTTGGACGTATGGTATTGCATTATGGGGTACGGCTGCCAAAAGCCACATAGTAAAAATGGAAGCCCCACAGTTCATAATTCTTAGAACGATTGTCAACGCTCCTTGGTACGTGCGGAACGAACAGAAGTAGTAAAGATAGGCAGGTTCTAACTCAGGAGCTCCGAGGGTGGAGCGGGGGGGCGAGGGAGGGGGCACGAGTGGTGGAGGGGGGGTCGGTAATTATAATCTACGGTCGTTAAGGTAGAAGGGTCACAACCGATCGGTAATTATCAGTGATCGGTAAGAAAGAAAAACGCAAATTTTACATGTAACGAAATAAGCGCGTAAGGGTGGGGGAAACCGTCCTCTTCGCGCGCAGGAGTGGGGGTGTTTTTTCAGGCCCCGCGGGTTCCCTTTCTCTCTCTTTCTCGTGCCCAAGCATTTTCTTCCTCGCACTCATGCCCTTCTACCCGTGCAACACGTAAGATTAGAAAAGATGAGGTAATTATCATAGGTAATTATCAGAGATCGGTAAAAAAGGAGAAGAGGAACATCAATTTTTCGATGTTTGGTAAGTATTATTATCGTTATCAGAGATCGATAAGAAAGAAAAATGCAAATGGTACATGTAACGAAATAAGCGCGCACGATGTAAGGGAGGGGAAACCATGCTCGTCGTCTTCGCGGGAGGTAAGCGCGCACGCCGTAAGGGAGGGGAACCGTCCTCTTCGCGCGCAGGAGTAGGGGCGTCGTTGCGAGCCTCGCGGGTTCCCTCTCTCTCGCGCCCGAGGATTTTCTTCCTCGCACTCATGCCCCGTGCAACATATAATATTAATATTACATTACAATCTTTATAGAGCGCGCAATATCGGTAAGAACATCTCGCGACAATGGCCTCGAACAGAAGGTCAAAAAACGCAAAGTTTGCAAATAACAATCCGGCAGCAAATCTTTTATTTGCGCGATACAATTGCTCGAAAATTAGATATTAAAAAAACGGAAGAGGTGACATCATTCATTGGCGATGAGAATATTGGAGAACGTGCGAAGGAAACATTACACCGGATGAGAATAAGATATGGGAGAAAATGCGCTAGAAAGAAAGACACATATATCCAAGCTATTTTTTTTTATTGATAACTGTATTCCATCTAAACCTAATGCTAACAATTTAGAGTCAATCAATGAATGACGTTCAAAATTTTCATGTTCAACAAAAGGCCTTTGCATAATCCTAAATTTCAGCATTTTGTATTATTTCTATAAACTTGTACTTAGATTCTACCAGGTACAAGTTTTCAGACAGCCAACTGTACATGTGATCGATACAATATTCAAAAGCGAACAACTTTTGTACGGTTTTTTCACTCATGAACATAGAGATGGTAGAACTTGAGAGTTTTGCGAGTTTTACGTCGTTTAGTTGTCGGAATTTAACTGTTACATCATTAATGCTTATCGGCTCGCTCAAGGTTCCTGATGTATCAGCAAAAATCTGCAGAATGTTATGCCTCTTTCGTAGTAGATCTTTCCACGTATCCATAGAAAATTGAATTTCGTTTCCACGAGAGTCTCCTATAGCCAGCTCTACGTCGCAGGAACCACCGATTCGAACCCCGATGTCGAGATACTTGTAGAATGTATCCGTCAGGGGATATCTCCTCCCCAGTATACGCACCACGCGTGTTACTCTACGTTCCGAATGAACATTATTGCTATCACTGACAAGAGAAACAAAAAATTATAAAGGATATTGAATTTTAAATGCATATTTTGCAATATGTTGTCAAAGAACTTACTGTGTACACTGCGTTCGAGAGCCGCGTATTAACCGGCGCTGTTTTAAATTCGCACTACATCGAACCGCGTAACTTTCTTCAGGATGCGAGAGACGTTGTGCTCGAGCATATACGGGGTGCATTGGTGAAACATAAAACAGTAAAAGTGAATACCGCGTTTAATAGAGAGTTTGTAGCGGGTGATAAACGCTCGAATAAGACTATCAGCACGAAGAACTGTGAAATCTTTGGCGAGATCGGTCTCGAAGAGTGCTACGAACAACGCGTCGTCGAACCCACTCTAGCATCGCTGGAAGAATTTCATGAACGGGATAACGGATGGGCGCTGTCGCGTATACTCAATTTAATTGTTAACGTGAATAAATATATGCCGCTGCATGCTGGATGTACCATACAATTACCACGAGAAATACAACTAAAGAGAGCTGTAATCCACGTATGTTCGAACGACAATGCATGTTTCGCGTGATCAGTAGTGGCTGCTCTGCATCCAACCGAAAGGAACGCATGTCGGGCATCGGTATATCCTCATTATTCAACGGTGTTGAATGTCCAGGATATCGAATTTCCAATGACATTGAACCAAATTAAAAAGTTTGAACACGCCAACAGCATCTCCATCAACGTCTACACCACTGAAGAAAAATAATTTTTTGGAAAAAAAATTGAACCGACTTCAAAAAAGGCACAGTGAAAAGTATGAAATAATTTCTAGTTAATTTATATGAATACGCACTAGCTCTAGATAAAATTGCTTAAAAGTATGGGAAAATACAGTGAAAAGTGTGAAATAATTTCTATTTAAACTGCATTGTTATTCACCATCGTTTGATGAATTTGGTTAAATTATTAAATACATCATATTAAATGCAATGCACCTTTTTCGGAGGCGGCGCAAAATTTAGAATTAAGTATATTAAAAAAAGAAAAAAACTTGGTTTAACTTTCTGTTCGAGGAACAAAAAATATGACATTAATTATTGCTATTACTATATCCGCTTTAGACATCATATTCATTAACACTATTCAATACCCCCGCCCCCACCAAATACTATCCCAAACCTATTCATAGAGTATTTCCATGGGGAGAGCTTATACAATAGCAGTAATCAATATGGCCGCCACTCCCCTCCAAAAAAGCCCCAAATCTACTCACACTATATTTCCGTGTACATACTATATACATTAACTATTAATTCCTCATAGACAATAAACATGTATACATTGACAGCATTCAATATTGCCGCCTCTACCAAAAGCTAACCCAAACCAGAATTAAAAAATTTTTACATCTGCGCCGCCTCCGAAAAAGGTGCATTGCATTTAATATGATGTATTTAATAATTTAACCAAATTTATCAAATGATGGTGAATAACAATGCAGTTTAAATAGAAATTATTTCACACTTTTCACTGCATTTTCCCATACTTTTAAGGAATTATATCTAGAGCTAGTGCGTATTCATATACATTAACTAGAAATTATTTCATGTTTTTCACTGCATTTTCCCATATTTTTAAGCAATTTTATCTAGAGCTAGTGCGTATTCATATAAATTAACTAGAAATTATTTCATACTTTTCACTGTACCTTTTTTGAAATCGGTTAAATTTTTTTTCCAAAAAATTATTTTATTTCACTCTTTTTAATGGCAATTTATAACCAATAGGTTTCATGCAATAACAACAGTTATGAGCAATATACAGGATGACCCAAAAACGTTGGAGGTCCTTGAAAAGACTTGTTCCGCGGGGAAGGGGGGGTTGAAAAAATTTTTCCTTAGCGAAAATGTTGCTCGAGGCTTCGTTAAGGAGATATTCTAGAAACATAAACTCCCGACCAATCAGAGCGCGAGTATGCCGAAGGAGCGTCTGCGGGGCCTATGCTACCGCAAGCGCTCCACCGACATACTCGCGCTCTGATTGATCGGGGGTTTCTGTCAATATCTCCTTAACGAAGCCTCGAACAACATTTTCGTTAAGAAAAAATTGTTTCAAACCACCCCCTCCCCGAAACACCCCATTCAAGGACATCCAACATTTTTTGGACACCCTGTATAATTGCAAATGGGATTATCAGGAATACATCTGCAACTACATGTGAAAGGATTGATTGCGTTTGGTAAATTCCTTGTCGAGCTGCACCAGAGCATAGTAATTTCGCACCAACAATGGTTTAAACGCTTTTTATTCAAACTGTAATGGTTTTATAAACAATAAAAGTGTCCATAAATTTTTGCAAATGGGAACATCACGAATTCATATATCATGAAATGCGGAAGGTTCCATCGCGCTCGGTAATTCCCTCACCGAGTTACATCATATAATAGGAATTTTGCGATAACAATAGTTATAAACAATACAGAAATTCATAAATTTTTGCATTTGTGATCATTGCGAAAACCTCTCCGGCAGCAAAATGTAAGGGGTTTATCAATTTCATCGGTTTCAGATCAAACATACGTGAAATAGTACGCTTTTTGCGATAAAAAGTGATATAAAGTGGTACAAAATAAGACAAGGACAAATGTTTTGCTATGGGATCAAATGGCAAATGCTCTTCCAGATGCAAGAAGTTTCAATTTGATTGGTCCATCCGTCTCGGAGTAAGAAGCAAGACAAAATGTTTCTGTTTAAAAAAAAAAAACGGGTAAAAAATGACAAATCACAAAATGTTTCTTTTACGCGACCAACTGGAAGAAATATTCGATAAGATGCAAGAGGTTTCACTCCGATTCATCAAGCCATCTCGGCGTAATCGGTGAACAGACATTTAAAAAAAAAAATACATGTCGAATTGAGTAACCTCCTCCTTTTCGAAGTCGGTTAAAAAGAAGGTTCTACCGATACGGCTCGCCACACGGAAGATGGAGAGACATGTCAATTTGCTGTATTTAGAAGGAGCAGACGGCATGGAACATTTCGCGTGGATAAAAAACTTGTCCCGCCTCGTGAGCTCACAATTGAGTAACCATAAACGCAGAAAATACTTTTGCGATAGGTATGTGTGACGTACGCATATCGACCGTCCAAACCACGGACATATTTTTTTTTCCTTGTAATGAGTTGAAGACAGATGTAGTTTTGTACATTCGAACGTCACCCTATATCTTAGACTGAGAAGCGTTTAGCAAGTAAGAGAGAACCTAAGTGATAACAGCTACGGGTGCGGAGCGAGCGATCTACTTCTTGCTACATTATGTGCCTCTGATACGACCACGGTACGATCGCGGCTTATTCACTATCGTGAACCACGGATTCGGTTGTTTTATCGCGACGCACGAGAATACAACGGTTCTCCTAGATGTTAAGTCGTAGCTACAGGTCCCGTACAATTCTCAGTACTCGTTACCACTCACGGGTGAGCGGCCAGATCTAATAAGGCCTTGCATCTTTTCGACGAATTCAAGCGTAGCATCAGCTAAGGAACTGTCGGCAGTGGCTATCGTTGGTGTCAGACACCAAAAACCGATAAGGGGTAGACTAAACACCTAGAAATTATTTCGGGCAAGATGTTATTGCTAACGCCATGGGAAGAAATCAACCACCACCCATGAATTTTTAATAAATCACGTGGTATGATTTTTACTCCTTCCTTCGGACCAAAGGTCCCAAATTAGGAGTATAAGTACGCTCGCAATTCAGGTGCTCGGGATAGTTGCCGTTCGAAATTTCAAGCATATAATTGTCGTACTAGATAGTCGTTGCGAGTTATCCAAAATTATAGTCCTTGTCGAGTCGAATCAGACATCGAGTTTTATTGCAAAGCTAAGGTAGTGAATCTTTTTATTCAAACTGTAATTAATTGTAATTGCTATAATAAAAGACCGTGCGCGGATCTTAATAAACAGTAACGTAATTTAACAAATTCACATGTTGCAATTATTTTTTTTTCCATAATCATTCGACGCGTTCGGAGAGAGAAAAAGGAATGAATTATAGTTAAACCAACTATCTTTTGTATTTATGATCGAGGTGTCGAAGCCGGTCATTTAGAAATCTTAAAGATAGAAACATTGTTCGGTCGTGGGTTTCTTTTCCGTCATCGTACTCAGGTTCCAAGTCACTTTCGTGCTTGCTGTAAGGGTTGATCGAGCCGTCGAAGCCGGTTTTCCCAAACAGTAGCCACGGATTTGATTAACGCGGCTTCTTTTCGATCCAAGGCAGAGCAGATATTCCGATCAGGGTCGAGGCGTCGAAGCCGGCTTTGAAAGGAATAGACGCAAAACCAGCGGTCGTAAAGGGTTGCACGGGCTTGATAACGATTGACGGGACATGAGATTTATCCCCGATTAAAACTATTATAAATTCCAATTTTTCCCTCTCAGTAGATGAGAAACACCGAAAACGTACGAAAATACCGGTCGGGCAGACGCGAGCAGATTCGTCGGTTGCTAAAAGACAACGTGCGACCAGCACAAACGGGAAAACTTCCGCTCGGGTGCGTAGTGAAGCTGCGAGTGGTGCAAAACAAACTTTTAAAAACACCAACAGCAGCAACAGCATCAGTACCAACACCAACCCCAGCACCGATACCTTGGAGGCTTACCCCACTAACCATCCCCGAGGCACGTGAGGCTGTGTGGACCATTCCACCAAACGACCCGCGGTGGGAACACTACATTCAAAAGGTGCTCGACCTCACCAAGTAGTAAGTCCGAAAACTTAAAATATTCTAATAAATAGTAATCGCGTGGGTGAACTCAATACGCATCAGGATCCCGTCCAGACGCGAGTCGTTTAAGAGGGGCGTGGGACAAAAGGCAAGCATCATTTGATCGAAACGGGCGATAGATTTTCAAATCTGAAATCCGGGACGTGACATATGTATATAATAATTTTTTCTTTTTTAAATATGTTATGTTTGAAAAAAATGTATGTCTTTTTATTGCAGATGCTTGCACTACTTTAGTTCGAGTGAGAAGCTGGAAGCTCACACCGTAGATTGCAACAAGCTGAACGAATGCGTAATCGTATTACCAGATGATAAAAGCAAGTGGCCCAGCTTCGACAACTACATCCGGAAAGAGCGACTTCCATTTGTAGTGTACGCCGACCTCGAGTGCACTCTGGAGAAAACTGATCGAGAAGCGCCAAGATCCACATACCAGCATTGTAAAGTATTTAGTATTGCATATTATGTTCAATGCGCGTACGATTCGTCCTTGTCGGTGTACCAATGTCGTCGTGATGCGAATTGTGTTTCCCGTTGAAGAATTAAAGAATTTGGCACATTTTGTTAAATCAATTTTATCAAATAACATACAAATGGATGATTTAACGAGCGAAGAGCAGGAGGCATTTCGCAACGCGACGCATTGTCACATTTGCGAAAAACCGTTTGGAGAAAACGATACGAGGGCTCGCGATCATTGCCATCTAAGCGGTCGGTACAGAGGTTCCGCGCACTCCAATTCTAATCTAAATTATAAAAACTCTTTTTGCATTCCCATAGTTTTTCATAATTTGTCCGGTTACGATTCGCATTTTATTATCGAAGAAATAGCTACAGCTTTCGAGGGTGCCGTCAGTGTATTGCCGATAACAAAAGAAAAGTACATCTCGTTCACAAAAAGTGTCAAAGATCCAAATGGACCGTCGCGAAATTGTATAAAATTGAGATTCATCGATTCATACAAATTCTTGAGTACCAGTCTCAATAAATTAGCGTCTTTCTTAGATAAAAGCAAATTAAGAATTTTACGAACCAAGTTTCAAAATTTGTCTATCAAAGATTTCGAATTATTGACGCGAAAGGGTGTTTTTCCGTACGAGTACATTGACTGTGCCGAAAAGTTGGAACAATCATGTTTGCCATCGCGCGAATCATTTTACAGTTCCTTGACGGGTGATACAGTATCGGAGAGCGAGTACGCGCACACCGAAAACGTATGGACACGGTTTTCCATTTAAACACTGGGCGAGTATAGCGATTTGTATTTGAAAACAGATGTCTTGCTGTTGGCCGATATTTTTGAAAATTTTCGTGAAAACTATATCACAAGTTACGGATTCGATCCCGCGTATTATTACACTCTGCCCTGTTTTACGTGGGATGCCATCCTGAAGCATACAAAAGTTAATTTCGAGTTACTAACAGATATCGACATGGTCATGTTTATCGAATGCACTACACGCGGGAGATTAAGTCAATGTTCAGGTAGATACCCGAAAGCCAATAATAAGTACATGCAGTCCTACGATCCATCGAAAGCATCGTCGTACTTGATGTACTTTGATGTGAATAATCTGTATGGGTGGGCAATGTGTCAACTATTGCCATATGCACAATTTCGATGGGTCGACAAAGTCGCAATCTTTGACGTGTCTTCGATTCGTGCCGATTCGCCCACGTGTTATATTCTAATGGTTGATCTAGAATATCCGCAACGTTTGCTTAAACATTCACGCGGACTTGCCGTTCTGTTCCACACGTGCCAAACCACCTGGCAAAAGAGAGGACAAGCTGCTCGTAACTCTATACGATAAGCAGCGCTACGTTATCCACTATCGTAACCTGCAGCAATGCACGCGACATGGTATTCGTATTACAAAGATACACCGCGTCCTCCAATTCGCACAATCACCCTGGCTTCGCGATTACATCGAATTAAATACGAAGTTTAGAACTCTGGCTACAAACGATTTTGAAAAGAATTTGTATAAATTGATGAACAATGCGGTATTTGGCAAAACTATGGAAAATGTGCGCAATCACGTCGATGTAAAATTAGTAACAAAATGGGAAGGGAGATACGGAACGGAAGCCCTTATTTCCAAACCAAATTTCCACAGCCGTAGCGTCTTTTCGGAATACTTAGTTGCTATCGAACTGCAAAAACTTGCGGTGAAGTTCAACAAACCAATCTATGTGGGTATGTGTATACTAGATATATGTAAGGTTTGTTTGTATGAATTCCATCACGATTACATGTTACCCACACATGGCGATAAATGTAAAGTATGTACACTGATACGGATAGTTTAATTTACCACATCGAGTGCGAGAATATTTATGATACTATAAAACGCGATATTAATCGATTTGATACCAGGGATTATCCGGTAGGGAACGTTTACGATATACCGCTTGTACACAAAAAAGTCCTCGGTTTGATAAAAGACGAAAACAATGGGGCAATAATGACAGAATTTGTTGGACTCAGAGCGAAAATGTATGCACTGCGTGTAGATGGTAAAAAAGACACGAAAAAGGCGAAAGGTGTAAAATGTAACGTTATTTCCAGGATGATAACTTTCGACGACTACACGCAGTGCCTACGAAACGAAATTGAAATAATTCGTAATCAGACATGCATAAGATCAAAATTACACAAAAATCGCTCTGAGTCCGTACGACGATAAGCGGTATATCGTACTCGACTCAACGGATACATTGCCGTGGGGTCATTATAAAATACCGCCTTAGATATATCAGTATATGTATTTTGTAAATCATTTTTACCTCGATTTTAATAGATGTATATATTTAGTTGTAAATAAAAACACTGTAATGTAACTAATAATGCTAGTATATGTATGTAGCGGCTAGCTGTAAATGTTTGAAAAGACTTCGAACGTGCAAACAGCTAGCACGGTTTATGACACGAACCATAGCGGAACTATTTTTGAGAAAGCCTTTATAACGAATAGAGTTTTTGTAAAGCATGAACGTAGGTAGGGTTTGCCAACGGTCTCGATAGTTAAGCGCTAGTGTCATAAACCCTGAGTTTCTTCAAGGGTCTTCGACGAGAGGTCTGGCGACCATCGGTTGGTCGCGCCGCGGTCCTAGGACCCTGGGAAATTCTGCTGCGTTGCCACCTTCTTCAGCAAACGCTACCCCCGCCAAATGGCACCCCCGCAAGACAACGGGCCACGGGCACCCTGAGGGGGCACGCACGATTTGGCGGTACTTGATGAGTCAGCCTTGGACGAGTCACCTTGGGAGACACTCTCTCTAAATAAATAGAATTCTCCCAAAAGCTGTGATCAATTAATTGAACACGCATACCTTTTTCCACAAGGTATACATCAGCGTCGGCAACGCGTTGCAACTCGTGTTCGTAGAATTCTCCAGCAATTGGTTTTCCATAAACATCTTTCAGCAGATACGTTGCGGGATTAGTTTTCTGAACCTCGGCGATTGTAAATATTTCAGTGCTCCAATTAGGTGTGTAACCTTTTTCAAAAATTGTTTTGAATTTGCTCACACGTACCGCATCTCCCACTCTGAATCGTGCGGGAGCGGCAATCTTTACGTGATTATATACCGTTGTTAGGAGCTTCGAGGCGTTTGTTGATGTAACGTCAATTGGTCGCATGCCGATAGTTCGATGCTTGCGCGCATTGTAATTTGATACGAGTTTCTGCAACGAGTCGATCCATTTATAATTTCCATTAAGCGTAAACAGTTTTCACATGTCGTTTTTGAGCGTACGATTGAACCGCTCGACGACTGACGCTTTCATCACTGAATACGTTTAATAATGATTTATGTTGTATTTTGACAAATGTTTTCGCACATTTGCGTTATAAAATTCCTTTCCTTTGTCGGTCTGCAAATTTTTCGGATACCTTCCACTGTTTCGGATTATCTTTCCGATCGCTGTAGAAACTTCATTTCCACTCTTGGTTTTAAGGGGTATGGCCCATGCATGCTTACTCAGCGCATCGATAACAGTGAGTATGTAATGGAAGCCTCTGTTATACCGCTCGTAAGGTCGCATCTCGACCACGTCCGCTTGCCATAAGTCGTCGTACCCATGTACTATGACGCGTCTTCGGGGAAAATTTCTTTTCGCCGGAGCATGCAATTCTTTTACGAGACGCCGTTTCTCGGTACTGGGAGTTTTCTTCGCAACCATGTATGACTCGACACTGACGCAAAGACTTAACGTACAAGTCTTATCAAACATCAAATCGATGCTTAACGCTACGGTTGGTCGGTCGATCGGTCGGTCGGTTGATCAGTCTGTTGACCGGTATATCAGTCGGTTGACCAGTCTGTTGACCGGTCTGTTGACCGATATGTCGGTTGGTTAATAGTCTCAACGTCCAGCTATTGATGCGTCTGCGTTAGATTTCGGAATTCGGTAATACCCCTCTCTAATTTATTCAGCTCATCTTTCAAGCTCTGAACGAAATTTTGAAACATAATCATCTTTTTGTCGAATACGTGTTGTCGACTTTTTCTAACTGCCATGTTTTCGTGCAAGTACAGCTTGTTGATAGCATCGCCATCCTCTACAGGCGGTGCTATCCGTCGAATCCTGCGCGACTTTGCGTCATAATTGGTGCCAACAACACAAAGAGCGTTGTCGCGTACATAATTTCTGACTACTCCATTTCAGTGATAGTATGATTCCATTCTTCCAATCGATGACTTAAACTTGTTGATTGACATTTTAATGACGATTGACTGTATCGCCAAGGTGCAGCTTAATTTATAATGAATTCTGCCTCGCGAAGTTCCTCGATAATCGATAGCATCTCATTGTCGTGAGCATTGTGATCGGCTTGACGCGAAACCTCGAGCAATCAAAGCCGATCTACGAGTTTGTTGGGATCGTTCCAGTGAACGTAGTCAATGTTATTTTTGGTTAATCTCATGGAACACGGTATGCCTTTTCCAATTTTTTTATCTTGCAATAAAGGCTTGATTACATGGTTATACTTGTATCCTCTGTTGCCTAATGTTTGACCATACAAATTGTGCTTGTGCTTATGCGTACTCGTTGTCAGCAGTATGTCCCTGTATTTGCGTTCATCAGCCTCAGTGTAAATGTCGTTATCTGGAATTTTCTTGAATATCAGTTCATAAAGGCCGGGTGTCCCCGAATATCGTATGCCATCGATAATTATGTTATCCGCACTGTCCACGTCAATATGTTTATTACCGAGCATCAGTCCATCATTGATGAGATAAACACCGTACATGTAATCCATACCAACGTCTACGTCGCCGCGTAATACAGGTGCGATGTATTTTTGACTCAGTGGACCTACATGATTACGTACCGTTTCTTTGCCTTCCGGCGTTTCCAATTGACTTTGAACAAATGTCGAAAAATAGCTGTTTGAACTTTCATAAACATCTTCGTTTGCAAAGCGTTTTTTTGTT